GGTATCATATACAATGCTTATAATACCTTATCCAAAATACACCATTTTAAAGGAAACTTTTAAAAGCGTATACCGTAGCTCAGATGCAATTTTGAGTTGATCTTTACAAAATAAATATTTTCGTAATTCATGATAAATGATACAATTTGAATTTTCTCAAGTTCTAAATCTATAATTTACAAATCGTATAACTAGGTGTGAAAATTCACTACTGAAAAGTTTCATATCACAATGTGTAATCACCTTCATAAAACAAATAGCAATGAAGAAATCAAGCAGCATAGACACGTGGCACTTATTCGTATGAGTAGTTGGAGACCACTAGATGGTGTAATTTTCAAGTGTTACTTTTCAGGGATTTGACTGATCTGAAGAAGATAGTACACGAAATTACATCTGAGTGACCAGCTGGCTCACCTCATAATCTGACGGTCCTCAGTTCAACCCTCATCAGTGAGACCATGGGTGTTAGTACTACTGAAAAGTCCAAAATTATCCCTTAACAGCTATCCAGTATTTTCTGCTTTTCACTTCCTGATCTCAAATGAAATATGTCCTGCTCAGTTCATTTTCAAATATAAACTGTCTGAATTTCAAGGTGAAATGCTAAAGCCGACAGTCTTATTCAGTGTAATCTTGTTATATACTGGCTGTCAACTCTCTGTTACGTGCTCACAAGTTTAGCTAAATCCAAATCACTTTTAAGTAATCATTAACGTTAAGTATATATAAACATACTATAGTATTTTTCCGAGGATAATACAAAGATTTAGGTTGGTTTGGAAAATTATATTAGGACTGTAGACACCTGTATAGTTTTCCAATTTACCATCATTTTGTTTCTAAATATTTTATTTTATTCTGAATCCAATGTATTCACTTACTTTGAGTGCTTGTAAGACTGCAGCACTTAAAGATTCACAGGAACTCCTAATTTATGATCTCATGAAGCATATTGCAAAAATACTTGGATATTATTATTTCCTAACATTAAACTTGAATGTAATAGGCATTTTTATACTCCTTATACAACTGCTTCTAGAAGACTCACTTTAAAATACTAAATTATTTTAATTCTCTGCCACGGTGCTAATCAAAAATTATAAATTACATGAATCATTACAGTTCATTTGGAAAAAACTGAGTTAAATGCCTTTTTTGGAATAAAGTTCAGGCTTTATCTCACTTGCCTAGTAAGTAAGCATTCTGGAGTTATTTTCCATTCTTGAAGTCCCGAGGAAGACAAAGAGTTTCAGGAATTGAAGTTTCAGTAGTGATTGCGTTGTATTCATGTGGTAGGGTTGCTAGCTCAACACTAAATCCATCCTTATTTTCCGCATATATCATCAATCACTTGAGCAAGCATTAGAAGTATGTAGGTCAGCAACCGAACCTGAACGTCCAGATTGGCTGGTGAGTATTCTAATGATTCAGTGACCCACAGGCACAGAAACTTTTATTACATTACAAAATTAATTAAGCTTTGTACAAGTGTATCCATAGATTAGAAATGTCTCAAAAATAGAGCTTGTTTTGTAGAATTAATTTAGACATTTAACTGATACATTTTTATATTAATGGACGAGGTATGACAGCCAAAAGTTTCCATTCAGACGTTTGAAAAGCAGTTTAGAAAATATGTGTAAGTGATGATAAGCATACAAACATCTAATAATACGAAATTGAATTTAAGCATAAAACTTGTGCACTGTGGTAGATTATAATTCCATTATGGGTAAAATCTGTTTTTTGATAAAATGTCACAGTGTTATACATTAATGTTTACTGACATTACTGTATAACACTGTGAGACTTTATCAAAAACGAAATTGAATATCAGAGAAAATTGAGAAACGAGTTTATGAGACAGTTAATGAGTTAAAACGTTGATGGCCACATTATGAATGTCATGTGAATGAGGGAAATAAAGGCTTGTATTTATTTCATTTCTAGACATGATTATGAATAGAAAAGAGGATGATGTAATAAGAGAGAAGGAGTATACATGTATAGAAAACCTAAATGAACTCGTCAGGACACCCATTTCTCCAACACTGTACCTCTAAAATATAAATGTGATTTAATGAAGAGCTTGGTTGACAGAGCAAACCAAATCTATTCTGGTGACTATAATAATAAAGAAGGTGATATTGTGAATGAATAACTGAGTGGAAATGGTTATCGAGAGAAGTTCACTGATAGGAATAGGAAGGAATTTGAAGTCGAGAATGGCAACGGTATGGGCAGTTCTGAAGACGAATGTATTCTTTTAACTACAGTATTTTGTTGACAGAATTTGTGGGATGGTGACACAGTGGTTGAGTGATGCAGTAGATAGAGAGTATTGAATGTCATTTTGAAATCGACTGTTCACTTGACAATCATACCTACCTTACTTTCGACAGTGAATGATAGGTTGTCTGACTGTCTACCTGCCTCCTCTATCTATGAGTGAGTATCTGTCACTTTGACTGGTCGTGTGTTGTCACTTACATTGGCCATCCAACTAGGTATGTTAATCATTGGATTCTTCAGTGTCAGCCTGTGTGGCTAGTCCAGGGATGGAGTAGTTTTGTTTTCAGCTTTTTTTTTACTTTATCTGGAGATAAAATCGATGTTTTTGGGTCATTTGAATCCCTCTACTGTATTCCGACTGATGTCAATTTTACCTTCAATTTTCGTGTTTTCGTATGCAAAGACGTAACAAGCAGAAGTTTGATCATTTCGAGTTCAGACAGATAGAAGTGATGGTTAAGTGTATGCGTATATTTCATAAAATGTTGTAATCCCGAGTATTACACTGATTTCCAAAAAAGTGTTTATATATGGATTAAATTAACTTTTATTTTTTTGAGCATTTTTCGTTGGTTAGTTAATTTTGATAACTTTTATCCTGAAAGTGAATCAGATAGTGTATATATGAGTTGTATAAATCACACTTCCAGTCATCCGTTAGAGGAAAATTTGGTGCGGTCGAGTCCTTTGAACTGGATGATTAGACTGGAAAGCATTCATTGTCGCCCTAGGTAAATTATCTTCAGAGTAGACTTCAATAATGTAGTGAACTTATTTCAATTCTGTACAGAAAATGTTGTCCAGAAAGACAACGAAAGCCTTACAGTTAAACCGCTCAATTCAGAGAACACCATCAAATAAAAAATTATCGTCCACAAATATGCTAGAAATATTTCTCCTTAATTCAAAACAAAGGAAAATCGGCACATAAATACGTCTAGAGTATATGAGTTATGTACACTAAACGTAGCCGCCTACAGACAGTATCTGAATGTTGGATACATTCTTATATTTGAATGTTTATTCCATTGCTAAGCAAAATAAATTACAGAACTATTAAAAATCAAGGAACACTGAACAGGCGTTTCGTCCTAGATTGTGACTCTTTACCAGTGGATGTCAGCAGTCAGCATATTTTTTTGCTCATGGACGCCTGCCAGTGTGGCTAAATAAAAGTTCTGTTAAAGCTATAGACAGTTCTGCATTGGATCACTTCATCCATGCATGCCACAAGGCTAACAATGAAAAGTATTTCCCTATCATCTATCGGGTATCAAATAACTTGAGAAAGGCTTCCAAATGCTGAAAACTCCATACACCAGAGGCAATTAAATTCGCTTGAAAGAAACAGAAAAAAGTTGTATAAAAGAAACAAGTCCATCCAATATTACTACCGCAGTGGTCTGTTGTGGAGCCTATAAATTCATAAATTCTCATTTATATTCCTTATCAGACATTCAGCTTGATATGACATTTTGATACATATTAAGCCTTCGACAGCGTTGACGGAAAAAATAATTTGCAAACTACTTCAACTTTACATTGTACTTCAAGCTTTTATCAACCTCATTCATCAACAGCTATCTGACAGTGGCAGAGCGAAAGACTCAGTGAAGCTTTCAACGTGTACACAAGAGTAATAAGACAAGGCTGTCTATCATCACCGATGATATTTTTAATTGTAGTGGACTGAATTATGCATGAGACTGTGCATAGGAAGGGAAGAAACAGTAGTACGCTGACCACCAATAAAAAGACTGTAGAAGATCTGAGCTTCAATGTGGATGATTTATGTCTAATGTCACACAAACTCGAAGACTTACAAGCGAAAACTGAAAAATTGGCTAAAGAAGCAGCCGGTGAAGAAAGGAGTGCAGGTGAACATAGAGAAGGTGGAGAGGGAAGTGATGCAGATAACCGACGAACAGCAGCAGCAGCAACAACAACAACCGGCACCAATCACCATCAAAGGGAAAGATTTAACAGTGGCTTCTTACTTCAATTATCTAAGCAGCCAGTATCGTTTCAACTAGAGTCCAGCAGAACGGATGAATATGTCAAAGCCAGCCAGCCAGCCAGAATCGGAATGGTGAGACACGCTTTCGTCAACCTGGAAACAGTCTAGAAATCTTCTGCACTGCACACAACCTAAGGAACAACATTCAGATTTTCAACACAAATGTGAAATCAGTCAATTCTTCTATATGGGTCAGAAACGTGGCCTGTGTGTCACAAGAAGGATTTCCAACGGACAGTTGCAGACTTTCATCACACAGCTACCCGCTTCGCTGGCTATATGTCGAAATTCAAGTGGCCAGCCGACCGGAAAGAAACTCTGACTGGAAACAAACTAACAGGCGAGAGCTGATTGCTGAACAAATATGTAGGGGAAAATGGAGATAGATCGGGTAACCACTGATGAGGAGGCCATCGAATGACATCGCGCGCAATGCAGGCCATAGCTTGAGGGGATTTCCAATGGGAAGCGGCAATTATTGAATCATACCAGGATGATATGGAGTAGATCGTGCGATTTGGAGGACGAGATGCAAGATTATAGGCAATCATGGGCTCAGCCAGCAGAAGAGGATGGCAGAATATAGAAGAAGTTGAAAATATGTTGTTGGAACTCTATGTTCCTTTTTGAAAACCCAAGGGAATAATAATAATAATAATAATCATGAAAGCTTTGTGCAAAGACTTACCAAGGAGAAGTTTGATCATTTTGAGTCCAAATAGATATAAATGTAAGTTAAGTATATATATCTCTATATTTTATAAAATATCTAATAATTCAGAAACTTGTACTGATTTCAGAAAACTGTTTATTTATTCACAAAATTAACTTTGATTTTTTCTGAGCATTTGTCATTGGCCAATTCATTTTTATGACTTTTCTTCTCAAAGCCAATAAGATAATGTATAGAAGTTGTATAAATCACACTTGCAGTCATCCTCTGTAAGACAACCAAATATATTTTGATGTGATTGACTCTTTTGAACTAGATGATTTGACTGGAAAGCTTTCATTATTTTGTCTAGACAGTATATTTAGCGCTCACTTCAGTATGAAGTAAACCTGTTTAAAATCTGCACTGAAGATGTTGTTCGGTAAGACGATGACTGCTTTGCAATTATACTGCTCAACTTAGAGAGCACCACCACATCGATAATAATCATTCCCCTGAGCTAAGAATCTTTTCTTTTGTTTCCGAAAAGGAAGATTAGCACATAAATACGTCCAGAGTAAATAAAATATAATTATATTTCAATAGTTTACACGCAAAGATAAGTTTTGTTATTGTAATATTTCGAGCAAAATTACCAATAACAAAACTTATCATTGTGTGTAAACTATTGAAATATAGTTATACTTTATTTGATCTAATCCACAATGCTCAAACTTTTTACTGATATTAACGTCCAGAGTATATAAGTTATATTAAGGTATCTGCTTGAAGATGATATTTGGACGCTGAATATGTTTTTAACATGTAGTGGATTTCAGCATGAATTCCGTTAAGAGAAACATCAATTACGAACTGTTGAAAACCAAAATAAACAGGTCCAGCTACTATTGCTATCCCCCTGGATTACTGTATTATTATTTATTGCTTTGAGTTCACAGTGGAACATAGAGCTTCAAGCTATAGGCTTGAAGTTTCTGTAGTAATGATGTTTATTTTTACGGGTTGAGGTTGCGAACCTCATGCCCAACATTCCCTCTCTACCAGTCTTATTACTGGCGTAGCAAGGTTTAGGAGTTCATCAGCTGGGAGTCTATCATCGAACCACTTAAGTGGTTGACCAGCATTCTACCGCTGTACCACCGACTCCCCTGGACTGCTGTGAAACGTATAAATTCAGGCATTCTCTATTAATGCTCTTAATTTGTCTGATATTCAGTTTAGTTTTATGTCAATGCTGATTCTCTTTCACTTAGAGATGCTTTTGAACTGTAATCTATTCACACTGCTGATTTGATTTTACTTCAAAGAATAATGTTGTCAATAAAAATAATTATTTAATTGACGTAGTCGTATAACTGTAGAACTTGATGAAGAGGAGGTTATCGAAAAGATTATTCTTTCATCACTACAAATAAGTATTTTAAAACTTCGGAAATTTCACATTCAAGATGAACTTGATAAAATTTATTACAAATCATAAACATAATAATTTTATTTGGAGGATTTCATCATGAGGTGACATCAATTAGAGAACCATTGGAAAACCCACCTGGAAGTACTGGACAGCTGTTTCAGGCAATTACCTGGGGTTCTAGTGGGAAGTCATGACCAGTAGATTAAAAAAAGTTGTAGGTGAGGCAGCAACTCATCGAAGAAGACATTGGCTAGTGATCGCTCTATATCGTGAATTGGCAGAAATTAGAATTCATGGGCTGACCATTGGATTAGTCCGGTCCAAGTGGCTTAATGGTCTAGGAGCTCAGTAGACTTGTAACGAGGAGGTTCAGGATTCGAATCCTGTCGGTAGGTGCGTACTGCTAAAGAGTCTCAAACCAGACTGACGAAACAGCTAACTGTCCAGTACTCCCAGTTGGTTTTCCAATGGTTGTCTAAGTGATGCCAGTTCATAATGAAATTCTCTAACCAATGAAGTGAAATCTTTACAAAACCAATACTTGAAAAATAATAATTTTAATTATTTTGCTAGTTTTGTTCTTAAATCACGTTTCATTTCCAGTTAATAATCACATAAATTTATTTATTACCGTAGTCAGACGTGCAGTTTTATTTTTAAGTTCCATTACAGAGAAGTTGGGAAGAGAATCATTTTGTCTAACACGGAAGTAACACTTACGAACTTCGTTATAGAGAAAAGAATAAACATAATAAGCACATTAAAACGAGTTGATAATGAAAAGACACATGTTAATTCTGTAAACCATATTTTACTGTTGATAACCGTTGGTTAATACAGAAAGTTTTACAAGATTCAGTCATACTAGAAGGAAAAGAAATCACAAAATACGGAGAACGGTTCAGAGTTTGACTTATCACAATTCACTGCTATATTTTTCATAATATTTAGACTACTCTAGTATTATTGTCATATCTATAAAGAGGGAGTGTATTTAATTTGATCATGGATTATTGTCAGTTCGAGAATCATTAGAAACCAAGAAGTATCGTACAGCTGTTTCAATATAAATACTAAGTGTTTAGACCCAGAACATCTCGGTCACAAGGCGAGGATGTTGACCATTCAGTCATTGGGACAAAACAGTTCTCCAGTACTCCTCGGTTTTCTAACTGACATCAATTGACGAGCAAACCTGAAATAAATCAAATTCTTACGAACGAACTCTTGGAAATGTATTATTGTCTTCGATATTAATCTTAGAATAAACATTTAGGATGATGGATTGGGGTTAACATACAATATCACTGACTTTGAAATTCGTTAACTAAAAGACATTTTTGTCAGCAGTCAGCAAATAAAGATTTGAACAAAGATGGAACAAACATTAGTGCAGAACGATATGGCTCAGTTTTACTTCATTGGTTCTCGTCATCTGTGTACAAGCTATAATATTTAATAGAACCAGTTACAATACACCTCTAGTATACATTTTATCTGTCATCACCAATCAGTCCTCGAGTTGTGATTATCGTAAGAAAATCATAGTGAGACAGAACATAAGCAGGATAGAGTTATCTAAAATCATTACCATATATATATATATATGTATTGTAAGAGCGAAGTCCTAATTAGTGTAGCACTTAAAGGATTACTCATCATTTTCACATCATCACCTTTGAAGTCAAGTGAAAATCGGTTTAGGGATTTCATCATGAGCTGACATCAGTTAGAGAACCATTGGAAAGCCACCTGGGAGTACTGGACAACTAGCTGTTTCGTCAGCCTAGTTTGGGACTCTTCATCAGTACACACCCACAGACAGGGTTCGAACCCAGGATCTTCTGGTTACAAGGCCACAGAACTTGTAGACCATTAAGCCACTGGGTCTCGATCCAATGGCCAGCCCATGAATTCTAACTTCTGCCAATTCACGATACAGCGCGATCACTAGCCAATGTCTTCGGCGAGTATTTGTCCTCACACCCAACCTGCTGCACTATATTGGTCACGGCATTCCACTAGAACCTACCTGAGTAGGGCCAGTCGCTAGTGAGTATCTCGTTGGTTTTCAAGTATTGGTCTGTAGGGATTTTGATTGTGTGGTCATGCATTTTATTATAAGCTAACCTTGTTATCGGAAGGTCCTGGTTTCGAACCATTTCGGTGGGTGCACACAGATGAAGAGAGGCAAACTAGGACGAAACAGCTATCCAGTACTCCCAGTTGGTTTTCCAATGGTTGTCTAACTGACGTCAGCTCATGATGAAGTCCTCTAACCAATCAATCAAATCCCTGCAAACCAATATTCGAAAACCGGTTTCTTGCTGACTGTAACTATATCTTGATTGTTAGATTCTTTCTTGCCGTATCTGTTGATGAAACTTTGTGGTTAGCCATTTTCTTCTAAGTATCTTTCAAGTAACATGAATTCATTGTCTAATATATCTGCTGAATGTATTTCTTTAGTCCTACATAACTGCATCTTCATTAGCATTCGTTTATATCTAACTGGGAATAAGCTGTTGAAATTTAGCTCTCCGCGTGTCACTGCGATGAATTGATCTCCTTATGAATTTAAATTAATTTCACCGCATATTTTGCCTTGAACTTAAGTTAGAGGTATCAGTATTTTTTTCAAAATTACAGAAGTTAGAATTCACAGAGAATCGACTGCAACCCGGAACCTGAATTGTCGGCTAACTAACTTTTTAACCGAAAGGTTCTGTGTTTTTAATTCTTGGTGATGTCAAGTATGCACACTTCTGAGCTCGAAATAGGAACAAAACAGCTGTCTAGCGCTTTAACGTTTTCGATGATTCCCTAGTTTTTTGTGGGTTCTTATCGAATTATGCACTGAAATTCAGCAGTTGTTATGCTTGACCACAAAATTCTTGAATTTAATAAGTACGAAGAGTAAATCGATGTCTTTTTGAATCATCAGATTGAATTTAAAGAAAGATGCTGCTGGTCAACTATGCTTAAGCGACATCTTCAATTATTCATCACACAATTAGATAAATTATTGGTCTTTACTTGCCTTGGTAACCAGACGTCTTTATGATCTCGCTTGATTACATAATCTTTGGCTTTAAACTCACCCATCTTTGAAACAGTGTAATTTCGCTTGTCTATTGTTTTTATGATTTGAGTTGAAATCAATACATTGCTATCTAATTTATTAGTCACTCAGTATCTCACGCATCTCTCGTCTCCATCACGTAACTCCTTTACCATTGTATGCATACATTTGAACTGCCTGTTTACAACTATATAAGCGTAGTTTTGTGAGCTTTATTCACTGATTGCGGAACTTTCTGTCAGCTGACATTGTGAAAAATTCGCAAGTATCTTAAAACTTCTCTGTACATAAAACATAATTTATTTAGGCTGTAAGCAGCAGCTGATAGTACCATATTATTCTGCATAAACCGCTGTTGTCCCTGCTTTATTCAAATCAGATACTTATTTTGAAAATTCATTAATCTAAGTGTAATATAAATAGAAGTGTCTACGCATTTATTAAACTATGCTGTAGACATTGAATTGAATTTGAGATTTTCCCGTCGATTAATTGGACCGTAGTGCTCAGTGTCGGGTTGATATGTCGGCTTCTTGCG